CAAAAGTTCGATTAATAAGTTATTTGGAAACGAGTAGAATAATTGTTGCTTTAAAATTATAAACACATTTCGGAAAAGTGAAACCAATCTTTGAAGTTTCGATACCGTTTTATAAATATAATTTCGTAAAGACACGAGATTTTTTGTTTCTGTCACTGTATACTTTCGATCCATGTTATTATCAATTGAATAATCAGTATGAATAATCGCGTGAATTGTTCAAAATTAAAACCTAAAAAAGAGATTCTAAATCGAGTTCTCGATCAAAGATTCGAATCGTTGTAAACAATTTCGAATTCCAAAGAATTCCACAAGGGAAATAAAATAAAATAAAATGAAATAAAATAGACGACGTGCAAGAACAAAAAAAAAAAAAAAAAAGAAAAAGAAATCGCGATGATCGATGATCGTTTATTATGATGGCGAATTTTTTTTTTTTTTTGGGGGGAGGAAAGAATTCCTCGACGGTCCAACGACTCGTAAATATCACCGGTGGTGAAAATTTCATGTATGCACACGTGTGGTGGAGCATCACACCCTCCGGCCGTGTTCACCGGGATCCCTCTCCGTTTTTCACTTTCCTCCGGTCTGACGGTCATAAAAAACCGCTGACCGATATTATCCACTCTAAGCTGGTTTACAATGTTCCTACGTGTTCTGTCAGCTCTTCACGCCCCCGGCGGGGCGGCCGCTCACGGCCAAAACGAAAAAGCGCAACGGGCCATGTCGCCACGTGACGTGAGTAATTACCGGTACGAGCGTGCGTGCACACGCGTGGATTATATACGGGGTTGCCTAAACGCCTACTATCGTACCGTGCCACGGATGGGAAAAAGAGAAATAATACGATAGAGAGAAAGAAAGAAAGAGAAAAGATGATTCGAACGTACGTTGTCATCGTTAGAAAAAGATTTTCAATCGCGTGAAATAAAACGTTTCATTTCCAAGTCTTTTCTAAAGAAAAGAAAATCATCGATCCACGAAAATAATAATTTTGAAATTGCACGATAAGAATCGCGGAAACTATCCGGGTTTTCTTATTATTCCCGTGCAATATACGGATTTTAAGAACACAAAATATTCGATACAAATACAAAGTACGATGTTCTCTTAATATCTCGCGTTCCTCTAATTTTCCCCTACGGTTCATGCAAATAGAATTTTTTTTCGTATCTCGAGGAGGGGGAATGGGGCGAATTTATCGCGCCACCGTGTATAAATAAGCGCGATACACAGGGCAAGATTTTTTTAATAGCCGTCAGCCGGAAACCCGTCGGATTAATGCGTCCCGGCGTAATGAGAAACAGGCGCAAAATAACCGGGGAAAACGTGCAACCCTTTCGCGTTTCACCATTTTCCCGTACGAGGATGAAAGTCAAACGCGCAATTCCACGGCCAAGCTTACCATTACACGGACACGTGCAATGCTAATCAGATTGATCACGGTTCGAGGGTGGTTAAGGCATAACCTTAGGGAACTCTGTGTGGCCGATAAGCAACTCGATAATCGAGTACCTGACCTGCTCGCTCGTTGGAATTGTTGGAACCGAGCCGATTTAAAAATAATATCTTCGATAATTTCTTCGATAATTGATCGATGCGGATCTGTTAAGGCGAAATTTTGGAAATTTTTCGTTTCATTTTCTTTTCTTCTTTTTAAAAATACTTTTTATAATTATAAGATAGACACTCGAAAGATAATTGTTATCGCGTCATTTTATAAATATACGATTTCTAATTTTGATTCTTTTTTTTTTATATTAGACTTGGCAAAAGTGAGAGAGTCACCTTTATTGGATTATCCCGTTGGATTTCACTCAAACGGAGAGAAAAGTTTCGCAAAAGTCTGTCTCGTCTCACCCTAATCCACGAACATCTTGACGGGGGTTGATGGAATTTGACGAGGCTTTTATGCAAATGTACCGAAGACCTTCATCAACCACGTTCCTCGTTAAATGATCTTCTGGAACCCGTGTCATTCGAATCTCGCTAACTCGATATATTAATCAGGCATTTGAAAAAAATATCAGAATGACTTTCATAGATCGGCAATTTTAATAGCAATAATTAAACAAACAACGTATTTAATTTTTCTTTATCTCTTAATAAGATACGAGATCTCGGTACGTCCTCCAAGTTAAATACTCGAAAGTGATAAACTATAAATTGTCGATATGTCAATATGTGTGATCAATAAATCTTTATACTCGTTATCTTCAAGAAATCACCTATTAAAAAAAAAAAAAAAAAAAAAAGAAAAGTCGCGTACACGTAAAATATTATATTACACGTAAAGCCATTTATTTTCTTTTTTTATTGTCCAGAGAAAATTTCTCAACCCTCGAATTTTTATCATTCTTTTTTTTTTTTTCACATTTTGTGATTTCGCTCGAAAAAAATTTTTTACAACAGACCACATATAAAAAACCTGAATATTTCATACTTTAAAATTTTTCTCTATCTCGTATCATTACGAGAAACTACACATTCAAATTTTAAGAGTCTACTCTTTCGAAATGATATTCAACCAACAACAAAAAAAAAATAAATAAATAAATAAACGAAATATGAAATAAAAGCTGATAAATATTCTACCTTCATATTTATTTATTTCTTTCATTCTCCACGGTATCTCCGAAATTGCCTCTGTCTCTCGTTCGACGCGAGACAACAGAGCCTCTCTCACATATCGGGCAACAAGTAAAACGGGAAAACCGATTACTAGAGAGATAGAGGAAACACCAGCAGCCTCGTAACGGTGGGAAATACGATGGTGCAGGCGTATACAAATTATTTTTCATTCATACGGGTGCACAATTCCGTTTTGTAGAGCGGTGCACTTTAATTTCTCCAGAGATTTATGCAAGCCAGGACCGCTTTGAGCCCGTGTGTACACCCGTAATAACGCGGATGCGTGTACGCGGGGCTAGCTACATCGGTTACACGTACGTTTTCAGCGAGCCGAAATGTCAGCGATCTTAATGTCCTCGCGAGGAAGATTTACGGGGACAGGTCCGCCTTCATCTTTTTCCTTCTCTCTCTCTCTCTCTCTCTCTCTCTCTCTCTCTCTCTCTCTCTCTCTCTTTGTTTGTTTTTTATCCTTTTCAATTATTCTTCCGTGGATGGTGGATGGCGAGAGGGGCGAAAGTTACGTGGTATTAAAAAGATTTTTGCGCACGATTAATCGACGACAAAATTTTGAATAGCGGGGTATAGGTATATATGCACAGTTTTTTTCCTTCTTTTCGTTCAAGTTTAATCCTTTGAATCTCGCCTTATTTTTATTTGGAGGGGGAGAAAATTGTATTGAATTATTATATATGAGAACGAATAAGGAAAGAATGGTAGAAGAAATATAATCGCTTTTAATCGTAAGGAAACGAAGAAGATAGTCTATCGCGAACGAAAATTAATCGTGATTATCGATTGTTGCATCATTTTGGTGATAATAGAGCAATCCTCGCTATCTGTTATTTGGAATCTTTTCGATTGTATTATTCCTTAACGAAACCTTTTTTTCGTGAAGCTTCCAACAAGCTTTTAAAATTCGATCCCGTGTATTCGCGACACGCATCCCATGAATTAATGCTCAAGGGGATGGAGAGTCTTAAATTAGTTAACCGTTGAAAAAGATCAGCGAAACACGGCCGCCGATCGTCCGCTGTTTTCTCCGGTGATACGAGGTGAATACAAATTCTAAGCCCAGGATTAGGGGTTGAATTTTAAGGAAGCTCGAATAGAATCGGATCCTCGAAAAAAAAAGAAAAAAAAAAAAACGATGTCTCCACGATCGATAACTTTCTCGACTCGATAATGATTTTCATCCGGTGATTTCGAATTATCGTAATTGAAAATTATCATATAATCTGTTATATAATAAAAATCTGTTTTGAAACGGACGATGATAACGATAATTCTCGAATGTGAAATCGTTGTTGAAAAAATCGTTATTGATCATAGAGTTATTTAATTATTTTCGCCTTTGGTCGTGATATAAAGAAATCTTATAAATTTTCTTTCAGTGAATCGCGCGTGATCGATCGATATTTCGATGATAGAATCTCGTCAGAGATCATAGTACAATGCAAAGATTGATTATCACGAAAATTAACAGGCATTAGTTATGATAAAAAGATAAGTAATGTGCATCGTTTTATTACCATCGATAATCGATCGTGATCAGATTATTTTTGTTCGTGCATTATATTTCACGAAGCTTACAAAGTATTCCAACTACGTGTATATATATATATATATATATATACACTTATTTTTCACCGTGTTATTAATCTCTTCTTTTTCTCGATAATTTTAGTCGATAATTTTAGACGATTAATATCCGTAGCCGTGTTATCATCGCAACCTCCAAAGCTCTTTTAATTTGTAATAACGTGTATTTTGATTTATCAAACGAGAGTTGACAATAAACGGTTGAGATGACGACACGTTATGTCGTCTCAAAGAGAAAAAAATCTCGAAAGATATAAACCCGGAAGTTATGGTTTCCGTGATATGGTTTCATATGAAATAAATTCTTCCTCATTCCTTAGATGATTCCTTAGATGGATTTCCATTTTCTTAATGTTAATAATACATCGATTATGGTTTTGGACAAATTGTTTTGACAATTAAAGAGATCCATCTCGATCGTTTCCTTCTTTTTCCTTTTATATTTTCTTGTATCTGTATCATTATCGTATCACTCGGTATGGAAATTACGTATATAATATGGGCTCAAACAGTAGTAGCTTAGAGCAAAGAATAAATACGTGACGAATATCTAGGAAAGAAATATTAGTCAACGACTTAGTTAATGGACTACAAATGACGAAAACGAAAGGCAAATATCACAAGTTACATAAGTCGTTGTCATTACTCTGATGATAGTCATCTACGAGTTATAACGTAATCGGTCAATCTTCGAGGAATTGTGTTTGGCTGTTGATAAGAAAAAGCTATATATAAAGTGTCGGGAGCAAGTTGCATGGCACATTTGAGACGTCAATCATCACCACGGCAATATTATTATCGAGAGAATAGAATAAAATATTTATATCAAGATGCGCGCCTACGTTTTTCTGCTCGCTTCCCTGTCTCTCATCGCCTGCGTATGGGGCAACAATCTGATTCTTGGCAAACATTTGCCCGGCGAGCTAATCCTCCAGAATCGAACCATCTTCAAGGTGAGATCTCAGTTTTTCTAATTCGACAGTTCATCGATATCCATCGACTACAGATATAGATAAGAATTTGAGGAAACGAATAACGATAAAAATATTTTCCAAGGTCTGATATTTTATATATGTGTTTTTTTTTCTTTCTTTCTTTCAATTCCAGCCATCGATACCAGGCATGAGTCACACCGTTACTATCGGTGCAACCGCGCCACCAGATCACGTAATCTCATACTTCAGCGTAGTAAACTTGAATCCAAAGGTGGTGAACATAGTACCTATTAAAGGTAACATTGGCACCTCATCGATCGTCGCACTCGGGGTCGGATTGCCTAATTGGGGCATGTTCATAAAGGTTGTCGTATTCGCTGTTCCCAAATTACCCGAAACCACCACACCCAGCACCACAACTGATCAACTACCAACGAGCCCTGAACCGAGCAGCACACCGTCGACCACCCAACAATCAACGAACACCGAACCAGACACGACAACCAATTCTGAATCGAGCAACACACCGTCGACCACCGATCAATCAACGAACACCAAACCAGAGACGACAACCAACTCTGAATGGAGCAGCACACTGTCGAGTACCGAACCAGAGACGACAACCAACTCTGAATGGAGCAGCACACCGTCGAGCACCGAACCAGACACGACAACCAATTCTGAATCGAGCAACACACCGTCGAGTACCGAACCAGAGACGACAACCAACTCTGAATGGAGCAGCACACCGTCGACCACCAAACAATCAACGAACACCGAACCAGACACGACGACCAATTCTGAATGGAGCAGCACACCGTCGAGTACCGAACCAGAGACGACAACCAACTCTGAATGGAGCAGCACACCGTCGAGCACCGAACCAGAGACGACAACCAACTCTGAATGGAGTAGCACACCGTCGACCACCAAACAATCAACGAACACCGAACCAGACACGACAACCAACTCTGAATCGAGCAGCACACCGTCGAGCACCGAACCAGAGACGACAACCAACTCTGAATGGGGCAGCACGCCGTCGAGCACCGAACAATCAACGAACACTGAACCAGAGACGACAACCAACTCTGAATCGAGTAGCACGCCAAGTAGCCCATCGAGTAGCGAAGAGCCAACGAACACCGAACCAGATACGACGAGTCCTGAATCGAGTAGCACGCCAAGCAGTCCATCGAGCAGCGAAGAGCCAACGAACACTAAGCCAGATACGACGACTGAATCGAGTAGCTCATCGAACAGCGAGGAATCAACGAACACCGAACCAGACACGACAACCAACTTTAAATCGAGCGAAGAAACAAGTACCGAATCAAACGAATCGATAAACTCTGATTCAAATAGCGTGGAATCAAGTTTTCCACGACACAAATCCGGCGAAAAGTCTGAAAATAATCGATTGTGGTGGAAATGGATGCAATCTCGATTCTGACCGAGATTCTGATCGATGAGAGATATAAATTAATTGGAAATTAGTTTTGTATATTAGCTCGGTAATATATCGATGATTAAATACGAGGAATAAGATAGGATAACAACAACTTAGGATAACAACCGAATCGACGTTCTCCTCCAAGCTTTAACGTAATCTAACAAAATTTTGTAATTAACTTATCCTTTTTAATAATCTAGCATTTTTAAATAAACTTTTACTCTCTCCTGTTTCATTCAAAATTTACCCCTCTCTTTTCGCTCCAAAACGTTTCCAATCGTTGAAATACAAAACGTACCCGTCCGTCATCTCTAAACTCGCCAGTTCACCCTTCTACCCTCGAGAATTAAAATTCCCACGAGTGGCGGAAGACGCGTAACAACATCGCCCCCTTTCCCTCCGCTCCTTCTTTACCTCGTCCCCGTCATCGCTTACGTATTTTCTCTACGCTATTGATTCCGTGACAGGGATATAATTCGGCCACGCTTGAAAATTCGAGGCACAGACAGTTTCGTTTCGTTGCTAACGCGTTTCCAGGAAACTCCTCTCGCTGGATTTAGGGTTGCATCGCACGTAACACCCACCACTGTTACTTGATTCGCTCCATCATCCAACCTGTGTGTGTCTAGAAACGTCTTCCGCTTCTTTCTTTTTTTTTTTCCCCTCGTTCTCTGGCCTAGATTTTCCACGCGAGATCGGGGCCACGTTCGTGGAAATTGTACGGCAATTTGGCGAGATCCGATTTGTATGGATGGTCCGGATACCGATATCGGGAGAGGCCGGGTATCGCGGATGAACCTGATCGACCCATTGAAAAATTCATTCTCCCGGCCGATCTTCCGGCCTACTTGTGCCACTTTCTTGAATATTTCATCTGTCAATCGTGACATCCCTCCCCGATACAGATTTCTTGAATATCCCGATTTATCCAAGATACGAACGTGAACACCGGTTTTCATCATTTCGATTCGTATGAACCATCGCTTCACGTAAAGAGATTATTTACAATTATTTTTCGCTACAAGTTATAGCTTGTTCCATGACAATGTATCCAAATGCACATTCCATTCGAACAATTCAAATCACAACCACACAAGATATACAAAAAGCAGAAAAATAATCGCGTAATCCAAACTTCTCTCTCTCGAATATTTTTCCACTACTACGTTCAACATCGATCCCCCGCGCCAAAAACTTTTTCCACGTTCGCCCGAGAACAGGAAAAACAAGAGAATCGCGGGATTACTACTCGGTTGTATCGTCGTGAAACTTTCGAAATTAAAAAAAAAAAAGGCTCTGATTCCTTCGATCGGAGGACTCGATCGATCGATCTTCGATCGTTTTGCTCGTTCGACGGTGAAAAATCGGGGAAAGGGGAGCAAGGTGGAGGAAAAGGGAATGGAAGGGCAGAGCAACAAGTGAGAGTGGAAGAGTTATTGGACCCAAAAGGCTGTAATAATGGGCGGCGCGGAGGAATCGAACGGAATTCTCCTCCTCGGTTTTATTCGGGCGCATCCCCGATCGGGGAAAGTCAATACAAAGGAGGGACCGATCGACTGGAAAATCGTTGCATCGCGATTACTTCTCATTTCTCTTTCTACCATTTCTTTTTTCTTCTCCCTCCCTCCCTTCTTTCTTCTTCTTTTTTTTTTTGTCTCCGATATGTTCCGTGTTTTTGTTTGAATAATAATTGTGATATCGTGTTCACGGAAAGATAAAGAATTACTTAAGCAATTCGGGTGGCAACGAGTTTTGATCGAAGATTTCCGTCGAGCTGTATCGATGGTAAGGTAAACGAATTTTACTTACTACAAAAAAATTTTCGATTTATCTGATCACGGATCGTATTAGTTGTTAATCTCCGTTATATACCTTTGATACGTTAAAATGATATATTATCTGTATACGACGACAAACAATCGAATATTCATATTTTATACGTTCCCTTTTCGTCTTATTATACACACGAGAGAGAAACGAAATTATAGAAAAATCGAAGAAATAAATTCTCTCTCGAGTGTCTCATAATCTTTTCCTATCGTTTCAATTTCCTTATCGTTCTCTAATTAAAATTCGAAATCGAAAATTATATATATATATAAATCTGATTGGACATGAAACACGAGCGTGAAATCTAAATACGACAATTCATTTTTCGCGTATATGCGATTCACGAAACGAAACCTTGAACGATCAAAGTTTCTCCGGCGAGAAGAGGGAGACGGACACCTTTCCTCCTTTTTCTCTTCCTAACGATTTGTCCTGACAATTCGAAGAGCAGCAGAGTGGGCATATTTCTAACCCATTAACATTCCCGCCACGGAACCTTTATCGACGTCGTACACACTCCGAGTTATTTCCTTCGCCTGGTATCGATGCATCGCATGCAAAGCAGCCGTGATTCGTCTTCTTCGCGCTCGGTAGCTTGTAACTTTTCTGTGAAACCGGAAGCCTTCGCGTATCTGCCTTCGTGTCATCTTTTCCTTCTCTTTTTTTTCTTTTTTTTTTTCAAATTTATCGTCGTGACAGGAAGTTCGAGAAAGGAGGAGAAATCTTTCGGGATTTTTACTTTGACGGATGGACGACTAATTGGTTGGACGATTTTTCTGTTCTATTCGATTCGATGGATTTGCGTAGTTTCATAGGAAACGAAAGTTGTGGACGAGATTGCAAAGTCCAATTTCGATCTCTAGATGGAACGATACTTCTTTTTTTCATTATCTATGTACGACTTGATAAATGAAATTCACGAAAATATATTACGTAACTGCATTATTTAAACTAAAGAAAAAAAAAATTACGTTACGATAATCGTAAAAATTTATTCTTATACGTACAGATAGGTGTCTTTCCCTTCCATTTCGTCGTTCAATCAGTAACTGTAACGTAGTTTTTAATTTATTCTATTCTGTATTTTTTTTCTCTTTTGTCTCATAACAGATCTACGAACGGATCGGTAAAAAAGATCGGAAATTGATTTTCCAAACGTTTGCAATGGACGAGCCGCCATGTTTATTTTAATTTCCGGGAAATCGTGCGAGCTTTTCCGTTTCCCAGTCCTATAGGGTCGTTTAATTAAACGAGCTGTAGATAATGCCGTTATCGGGACGGATTTCAAGCAATTGCTTCGACGAATTTCTCTTCGACATTCATTTATTTATCTTTGTTTCTTTCTCTCTTTCGCTCAAGAGGGCCACCATCGTTGTATCCACGAAGCTATTTCTCGACGTCTAATATCCATTAATTATAACCATCTCTATATAATTATTCATCGATTATTCACGCTTCAATACGTTTTACCTCCACCTTCCGAATTTATCCTTGTTTATCGTTATTTCACGCGTATTCGTGCAGTAGATATCGATATATCCTTCGCGTCCATTCTAATTTTAACGTCACCGTAATTGTTCATCGATATATCGTTCCCATATTTTTATCCCCACCTCTATTTATATACATTCTAACGAAAGAGACACGAAACACCCTATATATCCTATTCCTGAATATTAGAATAAAAAAGCGAAAAGAAGAAAAATTTAAATAGCAGAAAATTTTGATTTCACGATCGCCCTTTGGAACGAAAAGAAGGCAAGTTGGCGATCGATATTTTCTGGCCAAGGTTTCGGTCGAAATCGGCCGGATTAAAACGAGACACCCGGTATCGAAGCTCGGTCCACCGCGCTCAGTTCGCTGATCCGAGAGATTTTAATTATTACCATCGAATCTGTCTCGTGCACGCATCAAGTCGGATGTAATGATGAAATTATATGAAAACGTTGTTCGATCGTTGAGATTAATTATCGAACGCTTACGTGTGTACGCACGTATATGCATGTACAAGGGGAACAGGGGTAAAAACCGTGTCTCGGCGGAATATCGTTTAATTGACACGCGTTTACTTTTAATTCGAAATATTGTGCTTGCTTCTTCTACTTTTTCCTCCGTCGATAAACGGATAAACTCGCCGGTCAAACGAGGAAAAGCTAGTTAAAGCACTTTGTCGTAATGAAAAAAGAAAAAAATAAGAAAGAAAAAAATTGGAAATCAGACATTGAGAAGAAACGCGACTCGCGAAGAGTTTCTTGCCAATTTTCCATTATTTCTTCTTCCATTGCTCACACCGAAGATTCTTATTTTCTCTTTAAAAAAATTCCGATTTCGTAAAACATTTTTCTCTTCCCGCGAATCACGAGAGAGAAAGAGAGAGAGAGAGAGAGAGAGAGAAAAAAAGGTTTCAAAGGAACAAGCAACAATTCACAGATACAAAAATTCGAGATACGAATCGCGTTTTTCAAGAAAGGGTTTCATGAATCGACGTTGCTCGATTCAACCCGAGAGACTCGGGTTGAAAGAAAAAAAAATCCCAAGTTTTTCCCCAAGAAAACACGACTGCGAAGGTATTCGATGTAAATGCTCGCGCGACACCGCATCCCCATAAAGTATTAAAAGAGCAGAGCCGTATCGGTGTCTCTGAGCTTTTCTTTCCGAGCTTCCATTCAAAGCCCATCCCACCGCGCGTCTTGGTAGCGGCATTCGCGATCCGTTTACCGATTCCATACTTTAACGGCATAAATCTCATCTAATAAATGTACACGCGTGCATCGTGAGTGCATCCGGCTGTGGCACGCAAACCGTGCGAGACATTTATCATTCAAAGTCCTCGTATCGAAGGAACACGGCGCGAATGGAACAGCTTCCGCCTCCATATTTTTCCCTTCTCTCTTTTTTTCTTTCTTTCTTTCTTTCTTTCGTCGACCAATGAATCGAGAAAAAGTAGAGAAAAATGTGTCGATTGATGCGAATTCGACTGAATATATATATATACAATATATATAATCGAATCGAATCGATCGAAAATTTGCTCCGAGTGTAAACAACTTTGAAAAAACTTCGAAATATCGTCCTCTCCAAAATGGAGAATATCGCCCCTCCCTCCCAATTTTTACCGAAATCATAGCAGTTTAAATAGATCAGTGGTTTCGATGAAAATGGGAGATTCGAATCAAAGCGTGGCTCGCAACCCGGCGGTAGGCGTTTCCGACCGGTGCATCTTTATTACGCTAATTGTGCCTGCTCTGCCATTCACGAAATTCCAAAGTAAGGGTTTTCGTGGCGATCGCGAGTCCCTCTCCCCCTCCCCGCCGCGCATTGTACGCGCTCGTGCCCTCGCCCAGAGGGGGGGCGATACTCGCGCCGTGTAATTTCACGCTTGCGAGCGTGCACGCGTTTTGCATACTCGGTG